CAGGGACCCTCACCCACCACCTCTCCACCACCTCTCCACCCCCAAGGCAGGACATCTCCCGACAGGCAGACGAGGCTTTGCCCAGCTGGCACCTCCAGCCAGAGCTGCCTCCAAGCAGCTCCAGCAGGGGAGCAACCCTTCAGCTGGGCAGGAAATCCCTGCAGCAGGAAGCAAGGAGCTATTTCAAGCACACCCGAGGTTTTTTGGGCAGAAACCAAATTCTGTTTCCCAAACACTTTTGACCTGGCAAGTTGTTCCCAGCCCCAAAACAGGGCAATTCCTGAAGATGCCAGAGGGGCCCCCAGGGCAGTAGCACCCTGCCCTGGCCCTGTGTTACAGTGACAGCCAAGCCAGCCCAGCCTGTCCTCTTGAGGTGCCAGATTCAGACATATAATTCCCATTTAAGAATTCCACAAGGAATATTGAGCAAAAGTTGTCCTTCTTTGTCCTTCCTACAGCTCCATGGCTGAGGCAGGAGTAGCTGGGAAAGGAAAACTTCTTGGGTGTTTGATGGGTGAGGGGTTTCTGCAAGATGCCAGCTCTGTCCCCAGGGCTGAGATGTCCCCTCCCCTGCCCATGAGCTGGGCAGGCAAGAGAAACAGCTTTAAGGGGTTCTCAGGGCAACAAGGAAGAAACCCCTTTCCCACCCCACCTGCTTCTGCATTTACTCCAGCAGGGGGAAGGTCTCTGTGCCAGCTGCCACCTGGAGAAGCTCAGGGGACTGGGACACCCTTGGGACAGCCAAGGGAAGTGGAGAGGGTTGAGGCAGAGGTCACCCAGCCCAGGAGGAAGCACTGGAGCCCTTGTCAGACACAGGGGATGTGAAGGGGGGAACAAAAGCAGCTGCTAGTGCTGTCAGTGGAAGCAGGGAGGGGGTCTTGGCAATGCTGGGCCCCTGCCTGTGCCACTCACCAGCTCTCGGATCTCCTCGTTGAGGTCCACATTGCTGAGCTGCCCAATGCGCAGGAAGGAAGGAGTGAGCTGAGGAGAGGAGGGAAAAAGGGGTCATTCAGGATTTCCTGAATGTGCTACAAGCCTTGGAGAAGGAAGGAGCAGGCCCGTGGGCACTGCTGCTCTTACCCCCCTGGCTGAGCTCTGCCTGCCAGGGCAGCACCTGCTCTCGGAGGGCACGGGGAGGAGGTGGGACCTCCCACCCTGGAGAGAGCATAAGGCAGCTGAGGTTTGGAAGAGCTGCTCCAACCTGGCATCTGGCAGGGCTGGCTTGCCCTGGGGCTGGTCAGCAGCAGCTCAGTTGGGACCAACAGCAGGTGACAGTCACCAACAGCCCCCAGCTGAGGAGCCTGGCACCCCGACCCAGCAGCCAGGCCACCAGCAAAACCAAACCTGCCCTGAGCAGCAAGTCCCTGGAGCTGGAGAGGGACAGATCCCTGGAGAGAAAGTGCCACCTCTGTGGTCTCCAGCACACCAAGGCCTGCTGGGGCCACCCCTGGGCTGGGCATGTCTGGCTCTGCCATCTGCTCCCCAGCAGCAGAGACGAGCTCCTTGGCACGTCCCACTCCCCGCCCGCAGGGCAGCTGCCAGCCAGCAAAAGAGGAAGCTGACATGTCCTCCCCCTGGGGACATTGGGTGACTCTGAGCTGGCCCCAGCACCACACTGGGAAGGAACACTTGTATCTCCCTGTCGGGAGCAGGTTCTCCTTTCTCTGGTGACCACTCGGGCTCGTTCCTGGCAGAGCAGTTGCACAACTCGGGGCTTTTTTTTTTGACTATTTGGGCACCTTTTGTCTCCTGGGTGATGCAGGCAAAGAGCTCAAGCTGCAGCTGAGCCAGTCTCCAGTGCCTCAAGAGGACCTGGGAAAGCAGGCAAGCTGCCCCCCCCCCCCCCCCCCCTCCCTTGGGAAACACAGGGATGCACCAGGGTGAGAGCAGCACTGGCATCAAGTGCAGCCCAAACACCATTTCTCAACTCTAAGATCTCCTCCCCCAGAGCCTCACCCCTTCCCAGCTGCCCAAGGACTGGAGAATAAAAGAGGGATGGTGAGCAACAGCAGGGCCCTGGCACATCTGTCCCTCTCTGCCAACAATCCAGTAGATCCCAGATAAAGCCCCTGCTCCTGTAATCCCCACCGATCCCATCTGGAATGCCCAGGCCAGGAGCCACACACACCCCTGCAGACAAATAACACCCCTTTGTGTTTGCAGCCTGACCTCTTTTCCTATTTCTCCCTCTTTTCCACCTTCTCATTTACTCCCTGACCCACAGCCAGGGGTTTCCCCAGTTTCTCAAACCCTCTCCAGTGCCTTTTTGTCCCCAGCAGCCTGAGCCCACAGCAGGGGCTGAGCACAAACTGCTCCTTGCAGCCCTTTTTTGGTTCAGTGAGACCAGCCTGGGCTTCGGTTCTGGTCCATGATGGCTCCACAATCCCCATGGAAAGGGCTCAGGTGGTCTTTCCCAGCAGTCAAGAGCAGACCACCTAGGAGCCAGGCACACCCAAAGCTGTCACCTCCCTGTGGGGACAGAGATGGGAACTTACACAGAGTCACGAGCTGGAGGCAGGAACTGCCCGTTTTGCTGCCTGCTGGTGCCCAGGCACTCCAGTGGCAGATTCCAGCTGGGATCCCTGAAACCTTGGCAAGGACAAAGCTGAGACCTTGCAAGGGAACCTACCTCCACCTGGCTTCAGGAAGCACCAAGGTTTAAGGCTCCTGTTCAATGCCACATGTCCAGAGAAAGATCAAGGCAACGAGATGGAAAACAGCCACTCACGCCATGTCCCCTGCTCACAGCTGGGCTCAGACCTCAGGCAGGACCAATCCTGCAGGAATTCTCCTCCTGCTAGCCATGGGGGTCCACAGAAAGACCACACATGGCTGAACTGGTAACATCCCCCCCAACACTCCTTCCCTATGGAGCAAGCAGGCAGGGCACAGCAGCTCTGCTCCCCAGGGATGAGGCAGCAGCAGGACCAAGGCACAGGGAAAGGAGCTGCAGCTGGACCTGAAGCTGAACTTCATTAGACAAGCAGCACGTTTGCAATGTGCCCCAACTCCTCCTAGGTCCTGGCATCCCTCAGGCACCCAGCCTGGCCCAGCTGCTCTGTGAGCAGGGGGGTGCCTCCCATCTCACCCAGCACAGGGGTCACAAGCCAGAAGGACAGGAGAAAGCTCCTTCCATCAGCACTCAGCTTTTATCAGAGGGACAGGGGGCACTGAGGCAGCCAGGACAGAAGGTTATTTGTGCAGGGCTCCCAGATTCACTGAGCACATGGATGGCACTACCCTCCTTTGGATGTTTTTCCAAACTCCAGCCAAGGCAGCTGCTGATCCCGGGTACACATGATGTTGGTGTGACCTTAACATGATTATCTCCACAGAGCACCAGGCACTGCTGCCAAAACCCAGAGGACACAGCTGGGGTAACAGCTCTCCTGTCCCAGGAGAGGCTCTGGGACCAGCTGAGCCTGCCTCCCACCGCAGCACACACAGGGACAGCACCCAGCACTCACCCTGTTCAGGTGGTAAAGCCATTTTGAGCTCTGTAAAGAGGTGTCTGGAGCCTTGACCTGGACCTAAACTGCTCCTCAGCAGGCTTCAGGGAAGCCCCCAGAGATCCACAGAGGCCAATACAAGGCCCAGCACCTGGGATGGAGCTGCCCTGGTGGTTACGAAGCAGTTTTGCTGATCATCTCTTGCAGGTCAATGTCCTGGGAGACACTGGTACTGTCCTGGCCCACCTGCCTTTCTCCAGAAAACCTTGTCCCACACCCTCCCTGCAGCCCATCCACCAGGAATCAGGGCTCACCCCACCAGACTTCCTCTTTTCCTCCTTCCCTCCCCCTCCACAAGATTTTCCAGCAGAAGGAATTAC